TGCACTCCAGCCTGGGCAACGAGAGCGAAACTCTGTCGTAAAAAAAAAAAAAAAAAAGAAAAAGAAAAAGAAAATGATCTATAATTTGATTGAGATAAAAATAAGACATCATTGCAATCCCAAAAATTATTCAAAGTAAATGCACTTACTAATCAAAGAGAACAGTGGTAGGAAAAAGGGAAAGAAAACAGAAAATGTTTATTATTTTTATCTAGATTTGTGAAATTACTTCATGTTAAAATGACATGGTATGGGAAAAAGAAAAAAGAATGACATGGTATGGAAATAATCCAACAGAATTATTTTTTGGATCATGAGACTTTTCAGAGTTTATGTATGCAATCAATCTCATTCTGAATTTCAGAGGACTGAGATTATACAAATTTTCTGGTGAATTCATACTCTCTACTTTTGCAACACAGAAGACAAGGATATTACTTGAAGCGTTAGCAGGACGAATCGAGGCAAAAGATTAGAGAATGGAAGGATTATTAGACACTAGAATGTTTGGCAAAAGGAAGCTGTATAGTCTCTCCTACTCCAAATAACAAACCAAATGGTTGAATTGTATGCTCTCTGAGTGGTTCTTCCAAGAGTGATTAACTTAACATAGGCTGGGTCCTATCAGTCACACAGAATTCATATAAATTATTTTTCTAGAGTTTTGAAACCACAGGTTTAGATGGATCCCCTGAACTTACCAATCCTGGGCATGATTACTAGCTTCCTGAGGTGGGAGTGGGCTCGCTAACCGGGACACTTGAATCCAAACTGCATCATATAGGTCTTTCTTCCGGGTATGCACAGTACATGGAACAATCAGTGGCATTCCAAAGAGGCTCGGGCGATTCTTCTGAGATGACAGGAAATACAGTTCTGTCCTCATCTATATGTACAAACAAGAGAATAGAGAGTTGAGAAGACAGGCCTTTGATTCCTCCCTTTAGTTCTAGCCCTGCCAATAACAGGTATTATCACCATTTCAAATTAGTCACTATCACATTCTTCTCTATATTTATAAAGCCATCTTTATTGACACAAAGAGAACGGTGACAGTGGAGTCATTAAAAGGGCTGAGGTATTGCCAGTTTTAAAGTTGTTGCCTGTTCTATGAAACCTGGGTTTCAGCAATTAATATATTCAAACCACAGTTTTCTTTGATAAACATTTCTCACATACAGTGAATCAAATGTAAAAACTAGTAATAGCTTCATAGCTAAAGGCTTTTAAACAATTAAGACTCTTTCTTTCTCCAGAAAATATGCCAGTAAGCTAGGTGTGGTGGCTCATGCCTGTAATCCCAGCACTTTGGGGGGCTGAGGCAAGAGGATCCCTTGAGCCCAAGAGTTTGAGATCAGCCTGGGCAATGTAGGGAGACCATATCTCTATAAAGAAATAAGTACAATTAGTGGGGCATGGTGGCATGTGTCTGTAGTCCCAGCTATACAGGAGGCTGAGGTGGGAGGATTGCTTGAGTCTGGCAAGTTGAGGGTACAGTGAGCTGTGATCGTACCACTGCACTCTACCCTGGAAGGTAGAGCGAGACCCTGTCTCAAAAAAGACAAAGAAATGAAAAGATGCCAGTGGAAAAAAAAAAAGACTCTCTCAACTATAGTTTTCTAGGGATAAGCTGTGGATAGTGGTTGTAGGAGTAGCAATTCCCAAAGTTTTGGAGATTTGTAAAACCTAGTAATTCTGTTTTGTAACAAGCTTATCCACCTTCCTAAAAGCAGTTAAGTGATTTTAATCTTTTTTTTTGTTTTTTAAATACATGATAGGATAAAAGTAAGGTAAAAATTTTAAAAATTTGCTTTGAGTATGTTAAAGAGGAGTTTTTTTTTTTTTTTTTTTTTTTTTTTTTGAGATGGAGTCTTCACTCGTGTTCCGCCCAGGCTGGAGTGCAGTGGTTGCAATCCTCAGCGCACCTGCAAGCTCTGCCTCCCGCGCTCTTCCACGCATTCTCCTCCACCTTGGTCTCAGCCTCCCCAGTAGCTGGGGACTAATAGGTGGCCCTGCCAACCCAACGCCTGGCTTAACCTTTTTGTGTATTATTTTGATTTTTATTTTATTTTTTATTTTTTTTTTATTTTTTTTGAGACGGAGTCCCTCGCTGTGCCCAGGCTGGAGTTGCATTTGGCGTGGGATTTCGGCTCACTGCAAAGGCTTCCCGCCCTCCCGGGTTTCACGCGC